CATTTTATTCATAATAAATACACGTACTGGTAGAGTACAAATGACTTTAAATTACATCGAGAAGAAACTATTTTCTAAACAAATATGATTTTTCTGTAAAATTCTTACAATATTTCCTCTGTATTTTGTTTTTGTTTGTAATTCATTCACTGTAAAAAGTACTAGTGCACTCTTACTTCTTACCAATTATAGAAACAGTTAAGTGAACGATATACAGAATTATATTTTTATCCACTTGCCTTGTGAAGACAAGTACATGTACAAAAATTAAATAAAATGTAAAATTGTTAAATCATTTTCATTTGGTATACGTATGTCCTGAGTGTTTTGCCACTATATCTGAACGAAGATTTAGAATTCTAATGTTTATACCAATACTGATCTTCTGTAATCATAAAAAAAATCTGACATAACTTTAAATAAACATATATATGTTTATTTAATTGTACAAATAAAAAAAATCTTCTATATAGAAGTATGTACATCGGAAGGCTTACATGTAATACACAATAAGTCAATAAGAATATGCATTGTAATTTTTTAAACTTTATCAAAATGTCACAACAACTGTATTATCTACATGAGCTTACAACTTTGAAAAAAATATCATTAATCTAAAATACTTTGAAACGTCAATTAACTCTAACATATTCTTGATGTAAAATTTATAAATTTACAATAATATCATTAGTATTGTAGATTCCTTTTTTACGCGAGTACTATATTACGCGAGTACTATATCGCGAAATGGCTCTTATAAATACGTCATATCGCGAGAATAATAATTTGCGACGAGTGGTGCTTCTCGTGAACTTAATTCCTATCGTATATTTAGGAATCTACAGTATTGCAAGGATACATGTGTAAAACAGTATGCTCATATAAAAGCAAACAAAATTTACCTTTATTTAGTACTGTGCAAACTTATTCTTTTTGAATGGGTCTACTTGAAACTAAATCTACAAAATATGACTTAAAATGTAGATTTTACTTGTTTATTTACAATAAAAGATGATCCACTGTACATTAGTAAGTACAATTTTTGATAAAATATTCGTTTCTTTTATCAAAAATTTAAAATCCAGTTATTCTAGATCTGACAACATGAATTAATTTTTTAAATACCAAACTGAATATAAGTTGTGTGGCTAAGTGCCGAGGGAGTCGGACGAAAAGACAGACGAAAAGTAAAAGGCGTGACTTTTGAAACTGCTTGAGTTCAATGAAATAAACTAACAAGCATTTAAAAAAATTATCAAGATTTCACAAGAAAGTAATACTAAAAGTATAAATTTTACCTATACTACACATAAGTATGATTTTTGTCAACAAAATAGGTGTACTGTAACAAACTATTTTCATAATTGCGCATCCAATTCACTATAAAAGCATTGCATATATAACACTAGATACAAAACCGAATTTCCTTTCCGTATCATCAAAGTGCATGTATCGGGATTTTTGACGACTCCCCCCTCCCCCCCCCCCCAAAAAAAAAAAAAAGAAAAATGTCATTTTTTGATTTTGTGAATATTTTTGGCTTTTAATTAGTGTTTTAAGGCTCTCTAAATCTTATTTAGATTTATTTACCCATATGTGTTGGCTATTGTTAAGTATTTATGTCTTGAAACGAAAGGGATTTTAGCGACAAAAAGGGCAAAAATTCTCTCCATTCTTTAATTTTCCGGCAAACACTTGGTGTTGTCCCTACCGTTTTGTCAAACTGCCATGAAATAGTCCCTCACAGTATGAAGTGCATCATTCTATATTTACTTTAGCACCACTTGAGGTTAGTTCGTCAGCCAGAAACTGATAGTCGTCCAGTTCCTTTGCCGTCACTCTTGTTGAATATTTTGACAAATAAATCGATAATTTATATAAGTAATGTTTCAACGTTTCTATCGTCATCTTTACTTATTTATGTAGCAATTATTACCTGTGCATTGGGTAATGGATCCCAGTTGATTCAATACGCCAGAGTATGTTCTTCGTACAAACATATTCTAAATTGAGATAGACTTGCAACAAATAGGTTGATGATACAAGGATGTCTACAACCTTGTTAACATTTTGCAAAATTTTATGGTAATTCCTTGTTTGTAAATACAATCTGTCTTTAGGTCGAATGTTGACTGACTTCCTTTATCAAAATACTTAAAATCAAGTAAGTTTAGATCTTATGACATGGATATTTTTTTAAATACCAAACTGAATATGAGTTGAGTATATAGAGGATATTCAATGTTTTCTAGATGAATATGGAATTTATTTCACGAGTGGGACAGGATTTTTTGCTGTCACACGAGTGAAATAAATTCCATATTCATCTACAAAACATTGAATTTTCTGTTTATTACATTTTCTTTGATTTTCCTTTTGCCTCTGTCTTTTCTTAACACAGTGTCATAGCTAGGCTTGACGTCATAGTTGAGCGGTTGAGAAGTCATAGCTTAGCAGTTGTGAGATTGAAAACATTACATAGCATGCATTTTAGCAACACATTTGGGAAAGAAAATTGCAGTTTTAGCTCTATCAAGATGTTTAGTTACTATCTCTATCTTATGACAGGCCAGAAATTATTTTTCACTTACTTTGATATCCTTTCACACTGTGAGAGAATATCATTTTGATATCCTTTCACACTGTGAGAGAATATCACTTTTATTCAATAAATAAATCACAGTATTTCACTGTTGAAAACGTAATAAATCAATTTCTTCACTCTTCACTTTAATCTGAGGAAAACTCTTACGGTATTTCTAATTGAAATTTTCGTAAATTCCCACAAAAAGAAACCAAATAAATGAATAAATAAATAATTTATAAATAAATGAATAAATAAATTTAAAAGATAAAATAGATAAAAATTCAAATTACAGTACTAGTAACTATATAGTTGGAAGATTTTCAAACATACTGTGGATCCACATGTACTGTTGAAGCGTGACTTCGCCGGTTGACCCTTGCATCAACACATTTATACTCCATTTTAAAACAATAAAATAAATTTCAAATATTTCTTGTTTTTATTTATTTTTAGTGTTTGTTTATTGTATATACTATAATCAACATTGAATTTTCACCAGGCCCCGGGATCATGAAACACACGTGTGCACCTAGACTTAAGTAAAATTTTCGATTATCTGTAAGATGTTTATAAATGTATCAACTTAATCTTTAAATTTGCAGATAATAGCAATTTGGTGATGCAATATTTAAAAAAAAATATTTTTGTTTGGACAGTTTGACCTCTACAACATTTCACTTCATCATAAAAAATTTGACTTAAAATATTTCATGATCTTGGGGACAGAGGACGTAGACTAGAATGGAGAATTAATATTATGTCTCAATATTTTCCGAACAGCATTCCTAATTCCCCCTTCATTGATCTGTCCTTTTTTATCTAAATATTTCGATTATTTATGTATGCTGTTTTCCATTATTTCGTTTCAATGTAAATTAAAGATAAGAAATACTTAAGTAAAAAAGGTTTCTTTCATAAACCTTAAGGTGATAAAACAATGCAGTATTACCTGTTTGTTTATGCGTCATTAAGTTGCACTTTCAACTGAAATGAAATAAATGGGATAAGTTAATAGAGCATGACATTTATCAAACCCATTCTCAGTCAGGCGTTTAATACCCTGTACCAGTTAAGGATAGGGTACAGTGGTTTATTTTTTCATTATTTCTAATCATCAAGATCTGAACCATAAATTTATAAACAAAAATCAAAAGAGGTGAAATTTAAAGTCTACACCTAAAAACTTCGATTCTTTTAGATGTTTATAAACACAGTGTATAAATATTCAGAAAAGTAAAGAAATTAAAAAAAAATCCATTACATATTTACTTTTGATACGTTTACATTCTTTTCACAAAATTTATAATGAGTTAATGTCTTAAGCTTTTGTTGACTTCTTTAAATTACTGACACGGTTTTTCTGTCGAGCTCTTATATTGTTTTTACTTTATTTGATTCTTTTTTAGAACATTATTGAATAGATTTTATTTCTTTTAATTGAACGAAAGTTTAATTGAATCATATCCTTATATGTCAATGTTAAACTTGATATATTTTACAAAATTTGGCAAGAATAAATTCTAAACATATAGATAAAATGATATTTACCAGTTTTAAAACAGATCACTTCCTTATCAATTAAGTATTACGTTGAGATAATTATGCAAACATTGCTTATGTGAAACAATTTGACACATTCTATGATCAGAATCCGAATCAGTTCTGAAAAATTCAATTTATTTGTAAAACTACATGAAATATGTTAAAAAGTGTGTATTTGCTCCAGTACGATACTTGCAACTTGAAATCATTTATATAATTAATGCTGCCAGCAGTGCGGCAATATACTTTTATTACCATTACTCTTATACATCTTATACATCTTTATCATAAATAAAGATAAAGTCATTGTTTCTTTTAGCAATTTTTGTGTTATAGTATCTTTACTGTAAAATACCGTTTTCCAGTAAAATGTTGAACAGATTTATCGAAGAAGAAATTTTACATTTAATTTACCATAATTTTCACTTCTTCATTAACCTCAATGATATCGTAACGGCCAATAAACATTAAAAAAACCCATTCATAACGTCTATAGAAATTGGTAAAAAGGAACCAAAAAATATTATAAAAATTCAAAACTGTAAAAAACACAGCTCAAATTTTGTTTCTAAAAGTACAGGTCACCAACGATCCCCAAAAAACAGGATGGGATAAAATAACAAGTTAAACCCCTTGTACTCTAGTTTTACAAAATTTCAGGATTACGTATATTATCATGTACTTTATCGAAATCAATAAAATTTGATAATGCGTTGTAACTTAAAAATCAAAACAAGTCCGGCAATAAATCGTCTTTACCAGACTGAAGATGCCACGTGCATTGCACTGAGGCGTGTCGTAGACCCCTATAAAAGAGGAGGTCTGGGAAACCTCTAAAACTCAAAGTGAGTATTCTTTTGACTCAATTTAGCAATGCAGAAACTGGTTACTCTTGCCCTTGTTTGCTTTACCGGGGCCTTTGCTCTACCACTCAACAAGAACTCAACAGGTTTGCTGCCTATTGTGCATCTAACTATTTTATTCATTCATTTATTTTTAGGTTTAGATTTTTTTTATGTGTGTCATTCTTCTCCTGCTTTTCTTAATGTTTGAAGCAAAATCAATTGAAAAGCTTGATTTTGCCAATTAGTTGATTTTGTTTTAATGCTGATCATTCAGGCCAGTGCTGTCTGCGTGAAAATTTTGCTTCCCTTTGACTGTAACGAGTAAAATTTTTGGCCCGTTTTATTTTTGCTCCTATTTGACATTTTTGCAAATGAACGAATTCAAAGAGGCAAACTCAGCAGAGTTATTCCTTTTAACAAAACTTCGTCTGGGCGAATGTAGAATGAGGGAAATTATGTAATTATGTAAATTATGTAATTACAAAAAAATGTAAGTGTCATTGCGGAAAAGGGGGGATAACCATGTCAAATAAAACGTAAAACGAGACAGAATGTAGAGTTACGGAAGTTTAGCATAGGAATTTTGGCGTTTGAATTCTAAATATAAATACGATTGGTTTTGCACTCAATTGTTTATTAAACAGAGTGGCATAATAAATGTGAACTAAATTACTCCCTATGAATACCAAAATAATTATTCTTAAGAAAATGTAAATCATACTAAATACCCTGTACTGTACATTATAATTTAAAAAAAAAGAAGCTTGACCTAATTTTGAGAATGCTTTTGAGAGTGCTATTAACTTTGTTTGTATGTGCTAATTATGCTTTACTTTATTTGCTAATAATGTTGATTATTTGCTACTCATGGAATGATGATGCTTATGCTGTTAATTATTCGAGATTCTGAAAGCTGGTTTTTCTTATATTTTTGCGTATTTATTTTACTTAAAACCTGGATGAACGGTAGAAAAACCCCTGGGACTTCAAATTTTGTTTCCTTCTAAACGAGAATGTATGCGGATCGTTTTGCAAAATCTTAATTCAAATTCATAAAAGTTCCTCTTTTGTAGACTTCCATTTAAGCAAGTCCTTCATAATTGGGTTATATTGATGTATGCACAAAATGTCACTGTAAGATAGATGTCCTGATTAATTTTTCAACATGCAATGCAATTTTTTTGAATTGCAGTGGATTTGTAGCAATGTCTTTATAGCATTGTGTTTATCAGGAAAATGGTATATAGGTGTATTTGGTTTGGTTAACGTATATGCAATTTCTTTTTTTTTAATCATGAATATTTTTTTTCATTTACAATGAAAACTTGTATCTTATACATAAAATGCCCTGGACCCGAAAACGTAGTAGTATAATATCCTGATAAACTTTCATAATTCAAGCTTTTTATACTCCCTCTAGCTGGAAAACTAAAGAATTTTCAGACACCACGGAATTTTGTTTGGAATAGCTGGGAAGTGTTTAAGAAGTTGGGTATCTGGCATCCTGGATTGATGGATGAATGGGTAATTAATTTTACTGAACTTCATTTTAATGTTTTTAAGTCTTCGGTTTGAATTTGGCTTAATGTTACGTAGGATTCATCTTGATTATAGCTAGGGTGTGTTTTGAGCATATTTTATCGACAATTTGTCAAAAGGACTGGACAAAAAATGTTCCCAAAACTTAGTTAGTCTACAGGCTTAATTAATATTTACAATTCTAAATGAGTAGAAAAATATTTTGATGTGTTAGCAAGTTATCGTAATACCATTTCAACTTCCAAAGAATGGTTGAAAAGAGAGTATAGAAAAAGCATATGATTTGGGCTGGAAATCAAGGTTTCTGCACAATTCATTTCTCTATTCAAAGGTACAGTACTTTACTTCATGGTGAAACATTTCTTGATATTCTTGCATGCGTTCCACGCAGACACACAAGAAAAGTAAGTTAGGGAAATGCCACTTCATTTTTTCCTGACACGTACTTAACTATTAGTATTTCACACATTAAATCTTGTTGAATCATTGTTTCCCAGTATGTAATGTAAATAAAGTGTAGAATAATGGCAAAAATTTTACAATATTTAATTATTAAAAATAAATTTCTTTAACTTTAAATTAGAATAGATGCAAATCAAAGACAGCGAAGAATAACGGCGTCAATATTATATAATCTTGTTGAAATGAAATATGGAGATTACGAACAGTATTAAAGCTCAAAAGTCAATGCAAACAATACCAATCAAGAGCAGAGCAAACATGGACCTCTAAGGCATCAGAGGTGGATCAGATGCCATGGAGGAGTGAGCTACCTCTGCCGACCGGTAACACCCGCCGTGTGCTCCTTGTAATGATCAGGAAAAACGGAAAAATATATATCTTTTTATTTTGAATTAAAATAGATTCCACTTAAACGGAAATAAAAAAAAAATAGTTCTAAAATTTGTTCATATTGTAGAATGGAACTGCCTTCTGGCAGTTGGTTAAAATTAAATCAAACGTGTTTCAATATAAATTTAATGAAATTTAATATTATAACATTTTATATAATGTTTCCTAATACAATGTACACAGGACGAACAAGACCAGGACTCGCCGATAGCAGACCTCCTGCAGACAATGATTGTTTTTGATGCAAAGGGAATCCCTCACAAGGTATGATATTCTTTGTATTGTCTCTTCATTGTATACTGCAACAAAATATCACAAAGAAGACAGAATTTTCCTACTTTTGATGGGTTCAATCCAAGGTACCACCAAAAAAGGCTGAAATATTGCTGACTCGGCGAAAGATAACAACAATCAATCAATCAAGTCGAAGTGAAATGATACTCATTCTCTAGTTTAAGATATCCAAGTATTGTAAAAAAAAAAAATGCCATTCTAAAATAATTTTTCTTAACTTCGTAGTCAATGTTCTGGCTCAAAGAGAAATAAATGACCTGAAATTTTGTATTGAATTTTAAATTACTTGATGTGATTAAATTTGTAGCCAAAGGGAATTAAACCAAGTAGAAAATCCTCTGTCAAGATTACAAAGCTAGATCGACACCCTCAACCACAGGTAAATTACTCAGTATAAAACACGAAATAACGATTTTCATTTCAAGCCTCTCAATGATTTTCTAATTACAAAAATTTACAGTGCATTGAAAGTGCGAAATATTTCAAAATAGAACATAAATAGCCGATTACAATGAAATGGTCTTTAAAAATTGCAAATTATCTATATACAGTTAAAAAAACAACGATAAAATTTTGATCTTTCTGAAAATTTTAATTGCAGAAATCTAAGAAGAAAAGGGTATGTTATTTGTTTTTGTATTTATTTTCTCATTGAGATCAATGAATTATAGATATTAAGTTAAGTCTACAATACATGACACTGATGTTTAGAGATCTTTACAGATGAAGAGAAACTTCAAGACAACTGCACACCTTTGGGAGAACAAAATAATCCCGTATACTATACAAAGTGGATGTGAGTTTTTTTTTAAAATACCTATTGTTTAGGTTGTACTACATCGTGCAGACATTCTTCAACTATTGCATTTCAAGTTTTTGTCAATATAATGTTACTTTTATTATAATTAGCATCTGAGTTCGAAACACTTCTTAAAATTGATATGCAATTTGAAAATCATAGTTATACATTCAAAAATAACAAAAAAAATACCACAAAGGGATTTTTTTCCTGAGATAATTTAGTTTGAAATCGAAAACTCTTTTCTTTAGTTTCTGGTCAGATGAACCAGGGAATACAGGAGGGGATCCAGGAATTTGATGATCTGACCTGCTTGCAGTTTGTCCCAAACGCTCAGAAACCAAGTCTTCCACACAACACATACCTGAAATTTGTAAACGGGTAAAGAAAACTTTCGGTGATGTTCATGAATATCAAAACATATGACCAAAAGATTTTTTTTTTTTGCCATTTTAAGGTGTTCTCTATTTTTAAAGTAATGAAAATGCACAGAAATTTGCTTGACACTTGAACACATTTAAAAAGAAAAAAAGTCTTTCAATCATGCAGATGGTATTTTCAGTATCAATAATATTCAGATAGAGGATTTTTTTTTAATTTAACTTTAATATTTCGTTTTACTAAGAATTTTCATCTGTATAAATGCTGTTTTCATGTATTACATATATCGGAAAGAAAGTAAAAGGATGAATGCATCAGGTATTCTATTAATCAATGCCAATGAACATGTATTTGTTTTACTTGAAAAAATATAGACAGGGATGCGCTTCTTACGTGGGACGTACTAATATGCTTGAACAGCACGTCACTCTTCAGGATCCTCAGTGTTCTCAGGTATGTTACGTTTTCAAAGTGTTCTAAAAAAATCAGCATGAACGAAGACGATGAACTTGTTTTAACGTTCCTTTGAGAATTTTTCACTCATATTGAGAGGCCACTACTTGCCGGTAGAAGGCTACAGATTTACACCTGTACTAGGCACTTACGGGCTTTAGGCAGGGAGGGGTCTTTTTTGTGCCAGTATCTACTGCGACATGGGACCTCGGTTTATACGGTCTCAGACCGGTCCTAAACTTATTTGAGAAGTCAACAAACTAAAGTTGACAGAGTTGTACATTATAACAGTAAAAATTTGCACTTGTTTATCATCAAACACCTGTGAACGCACTTGCCTTTAAAATGAAATTGATTTTTAGGTCACCTGAGTCACTCAGGTGACCAATTGCTATCTGTTTTCGTCCGTCGTCGTGCGTCGTGTGTTAACATTTGAACATTTTCAGCGTCTTCTCTGAAACCGCTGAACCAATTTCAGCCAATTTTAGCATATGGCATCTATGTGTGAAGGGGAACAAAATTTGGGAATATCATGGTCCCTGCTCCCCTGGGGCCTGAGGGGTGGGGCTAAAACCACCAAAATTCATACAATCTTTAAAAATCTTCTTCTTTACTCCTGGACATCAAGCAGTCAAACTGTTGGCATGATTGTAATAAGCATTGAGCCCTCTACCAGAACTGTGAAATTCATGGCCCCAGGGTCAGGGGTTCTGGTGCTAGGGTGAAGCTACATATATATAGTTCATAAAGTGAAGGTGCATTATTTCTTTGAAAATCTTCTTCTCCACTCCTGGGTATTATTGAAACAAATTAAATACATAGTTATGATAAGCAAGAGTGACTCTACCAGAATTGTGAAATTCATAGCCCAGGGTCAGGGGTTCTGGTGCTAAGGGGGGGGGGGGCTATATAGATCATATAGTGAAAGTGCATTATTTCTTTGAAAATCTTCTTCTCTCCTCCAGGGTATTATTGAAACAAATTAAATATATGACTGCCGTCATGAGAAAAGGGCCCTTAAGGTCAAAATTTCACAAATTGACTTTTTGGTATTTTTTGATAGCCTGACTCTTTCTGATTGCAAAAATACATAACTTTTATAAATATCTCCCTTTTTCTATATTTTATGAGCATTTTATTAAGGCGCCTCAAAATAACGTTGACGTTACTCACTGAAAACGTAATGACGTCGCGTGCGTCAAATTCAGTTTCCAAACATTCTTAAAATTATTTAAATAACTTTAATCGTTTTGACACAAATAAACTTGAAAAAAATTGATTTCTTCTTCCAAGATTCTAGTATGTAATTATTCCTAAGGAAAGTCGACTTTATTCATACTATTTTAGAGACAGATTTAGTGATATCGTAAAGGAGGGGGGTGGGGTGGTCAAGACAGGATCTAGGAATGGTTTGTATTCATTTGAAAAAATAATATTTGTACAATTCCACTATTTTAGCACAAGATATTCTTTTTATATTTAATACTATAGCCAAATTTATACAATATATAAAACAATTTTAAATTAAAAACCTTAAAAGAAAAACGTCACAGGTGTCTAATAGAGAAAGGATAGATTCAACCCAAGGAAGGGCAACGCGCGTAACGCGGGACATCAGCACATCGATCCCGATATATAAAAAATATATTTTTGGTTTAATATAAGGAGGCATCCCCCCCTCCCCTTCGACACACACACTATATCAATGTGATGTTAACCGACTTTTAAAGTTAAATTTGAATAAAAAAGAAAAACCTCGGCCCTGTCTGTTTGTACATAATCAGCAACTTTTTCTGCATTACTGCATGAGTAGAAGCTAGGCTCGTCTAGTATGGACTAATTTCTATATTCAGCTAAACAATTTGTAGTCGACCTAAGCAGTGATTAGTCCGTTGCAATGTAGCAGCGATCTTCGAATGACTTTAAACACCTGAAAATCTACCTTATACGTGACTGAATCATGCGTAGCACGGATTCAACCTATTCACCCGTAAACAAAATGAACAACTAATTGATCTTCTATACCGATAGACCTTCTCTGCATACATAACAAACACACGTGTTTTCCCGTAACTTTTATAAATATTCGTCAACTTCTTTAAAGTTTTTAAAGTAAATCATGCTTAATAAAAAAGCGGTTGTAAATGCTTTGTTTTTTTTGGGGGGGGGGGTGGGGGGGTGGGGTGGGGGGGGGGCTTTGCACCTATGCTTGCTTTCGACGCTACTACTGTATCGCTTGGACACATCAATCGTTCATCATTTCTTATAAGGGTCGCTTATGTAATGATTCAATGTCGATACGATTTGGAAATTTGCTATCATATTGCCAGATACTAATTACTCAGTATCACCTGCTGGACATGCAAAGATAGCTGGCAGACACGTGTCATATTTTAAGCTTATCATTTGAAACATTTGAAACATTTTATTCACTTTTTGGCCTCACATGAGGCATAAAAGTACAAAAAGAAATAAATCAACAATGAAAAGGTAACAAATGAACAAAGGATTAACATATATTCAATATTAATTTAGAGGTATTGGAAGGAATTTCAAGAGTGAAATAAAGACATTACAATCTTCCAAAATTTAGCCAAGCCAATTAAGGTAAATTTATCATCACTGTTGAACAGGTTAGCAAAACTATTGATATTTTTTACTTTGTAAACTTTTTCAGGTATCAATGCTCAATTCTAAAAAAAATTTAATTCCTTGTACCATTGCGCTCGATCTGAAATAATAACCTCTCTGGATTTTTGGAATTGATAAAATCTCGTCAGATAATAATCACTCACAATGCATGTGTAAACGATTGTCTGGTTTCCAACTCAGATTTACGGAAAGTTCTGTAAAAAATAACATTGTATAGTTTGATCAAAGAGAGGGTTGTACTGCTCTTGACTCTTTTTAATATATGTACACTTAACGGAGTTGGATTTTTCTAGGCAAAATAAAATAGAGTTGCTTTACAATTTTGACGAAATCTATTTGAAATTAAAACTGAATATCTCTCAAGACTTAAATATATTTTTACGCAGTTAAGGTCATCTATTCATCTTAATCAAAGGTTTTTTTTTTTTTTTTTTTTTTTTTTTCAAAATTATATTTTTTTTTTATTAAAAGCAGAAAGGTATGTGTATTTGTTTAATCATTCCTTTAAAGTCAAGTACAGTTATAAACTTCGGCCTCATGGTCCATGGAATAAAACCCGGGGTAAATCCCCGTACACCCTTGATTGAACCTGGATAACTAATAGTATCCCGGCATCAACGGAACTTTCAGAAAAATTAGAGATATCCGGGTTATCGAGATGAGACTTGACGTCCAAGATTTAAACGCGAAACGTGACTAATTCATTATATACATGACTTCAATAGTCAGTAAAAAAAAAATGCTTCCTTTCATATTTCACGGTCATCAAAATTTTACATGAGCCTCCGGTTTTTTTTGGGTTTTTTTTTTTTTTTTTTGTCGCTCGAAACATCACCATTGCTTTCTTTTCCATCTTTCTCAAAATGTAGATGTTTTGATTGTCTTTGTTGTCTTACAGTTGGTGTTTATGTCGTTGATGATCAGAACATTTTTATTACATTATAATATGACATTCATAACCACTTGTTGGTAGTACTTTTTTCCTCTATCAGTGATTTATACTCAAAACATGTCGCCATATCAACATTTACCAGAAGTTCGTAGTTTCGTAATCTATCGTTTAATCTGTTTTTTCTTCTTCTGTTTCATACATATTTTCATGCATAATGTCACGTTCGATATAATTATTAGTTTCTTCAACGTTGAGTATAATGCTCATGGAAAAGCCCACATTAAATGTATTTTGATAAAATTCCTAAATCAAGCGCAATTTAACTTCAAGCCAGCTTTCATCGGAATAATTTAAGAAAATTGATAAAGTAATTGTTATCAGAGAGTACTTTTTTTTTATACATTTATTTGATCATTTCATTATTTTTTTTTAATTATATTTTTAGCAAAATTTTCGGGGCACCGTTTTCTCCATTTTTTTCCGAAGCATATTCTTTTGTTGCTAATTTTGTATAGATTTTTTTATATAACATTTATACAATCCACCTCTTTTCATTTTTTGTAGTTCATGAAGGTTCGAATCTCCCATGTTACAAGTATCTATATCCAAAACAAGATGTTCTCTTTTTTTAGTTTGAACTTTTACCGGTTGTCTTTTTATTCGTCGATTTATTTATTTTTTTTATTTTTATTTTTGTTTGTTTGTCAATAATCTCTCTCTCTCTCTCCCCCCCCCCCCCCACACACACACATCGACGCTTCACCCTTCTCTGGTCTAATTGTGCATATCAATATGATTAACTATATGGATTAAAATTTAAATAAAGACTTTTAAATGAAGGAATTTTTAAATTAAGAAGCACTAATAAAGTACGCGTATATGTGCATTGATCTCTATTTCTCTCTCTCTCCCTCTTTGGACAAAAATATTTACGTGCATGTAGAATACCTTTTAATAATAAGTCTAATTCACATGAGTCAAATTTATGTATTTGAAAATTGCTCAGAAAACAAATAAATAGTATTTTGAGTCATGCATAGTATATAGACATCGCTATAAATCGCTGTATTGAACAATGTGTTCAATGTCGTGTTTAGATTAATTATGCGATATCAAGTAAAATGCTTAATAATAAACAGAATTATGAATAAATACATGTACTTAATAGTAATAATATTATCTATTACAAATTTCAGCATCAATTTTCATATATATTTTTTTTTTCCATTTCACCTGGAAATCCAATTTTATTTCTTGTTCACGAAACACTGTCGACAAAAATTACGTTCGTGTTCACAACACTGCGACTTTGACGTCGTTTTCTGAGCATTGTGACGTCAAAAGATAAGGGCCCTTTTCTCATGACGGCAGTCATATAGTTATGATAAGCAAGAGAGACTCTACCAAAATTGTGAAATTCATGGCCCCAGGGTCAGGGGCTCTGGTGCTAAGGTGGGGCTATATAGATCATATAGTGAAAGTGTATTATTTCTTTGAAAATATTCTTCTCTACTCCTGAGTATTATTTAAACAAATTATATACATAGTTATGATAAGCAAGGATGATTCTTCCAGAATAGTGAATTTCATGACCCCTGGATCAGGGGTTCTGACGTTAGGGCCGGGCTCTATTTATTATATAGTGAAAATGCATTAATGCTTTAAAAATCTTCTTCTCTGCTCTTGGGTATTTTTGAAACAATATAAGTACATTGTTATGATAAGCAAAGATGCCTCTTCCAAAATTGTGAAATTCATTGTCCCAGGGACAGGGGTTCTAGTTCTAGGTTGGGGTTAGATCCTATAGTAAAGGTGAATTTTTTTTCTTTGAAAATCTTCATCTCTGCCCCTGGGTACTATTTAACCAAACTAAGTACATTGCTATGATACGCAAGGATGCCTCTTCCAAAATTGTGAATTTCATTACCCCAGGGACAGGGGTTCTGGTTCTAGGTTGGGGCTAGATCCTATAGTAAAGGTGAATTTTTTTTTCTTTGAAAATCTTCATCTCTGCCCCTGGGTACTATTTAACCAAACTAAGTACATTGCTATGATAAGCAAAGGATGCCTCTTCCAAAATTGTGAATTTCATTGTCCCAGGGACAGGGGTTCTAGTGAAAAGGATGGGGGGAGCTCTATTGATTATATAGTGAAAAAGCAAAATTTCATTGAAAATATTCTTTTCAGCTTCTGGTTAAAAAGCAATGAAGCTAAGTATATAGATATGATGAGCAAGAGTGCTTCTTCCAGAGTAGTGAATTGCATGACCCTGGGTCAGATGTGCTGGTGTAAGGGTGGGGCTCTTGATAATATAGTGAAAATGCATTAATTCTATTAAATAATCCTGTTTGCTCCTAAGTGTTAAGCAGATAAACAAAGTGATTACTTATGATGAGCAAACATCTGATCCTAGGGTGAGAGACTCTAGTGTTTCTTGGTGTGGAGGGGGGGGGGGGGGCTCTATTGATAATATAGTGAATCTATAGTAAAAATGCATTATTTCTTTAAATATTTTCTCTGCACTTGGGCATATCAGAGGCAAAAAGATTAAAAGTTTAATAAGGAAGGGTATATTTACCAGATTTTTGAACATCTGGACCATTTGGTCAAGTGTTCTGGTCCTGGCCAGGGCTCTATTAATTTGTATTCTACTGAGAGGAGTTATTCCCCTATGCCGTTTACTTTTGATAATTAATCACTGTAAACAATGTACTTGAAAGGTTGATAGAATAAGAGAATTATGCAAGATATTTTATTGTATAATACAAAAAGTATTTTCATAGTTTTAATGATCAGGTAGACTTGTAAGTAATAGATAAATAAAAATGGAACAAAAATAACTTGTCTTTTTAAATGTTCATCAAAGACCAAGAGAGGCCAATGTAAGAGATTTCAACAAGAAATTAAAATAGTACAGAAGCACTGATAGTTTTTTTATATACTGTATAGTGAAAGTGATAAATGGGGACCAGATTAGAACCTTAATTATTTTGTTGATCCTGATCACCCTATTTTTCTTGCTTTTGGGCAACAAAGCTTCACCTTTCAGTTCATTTTATACTCTGTGGATCCTCTAAATTGTTGTAATATACTCAGGTGACCGTTAAGCCCCTTGGGCCTCTTGTTAATGATAGCATTTATGTGCAAAACACAATAAGGCCTCGAACGTGTCAAGCTTAAAACACTCGAAATATTTTAGTAAATGCAGAGAGCAGAAAAGCTTATTGAGATTTGGCGAGAAAATGACCATGGTGCTACAAATAAGAAAGTGAAAAATTAAATCTTATTTACATATGTATCAAAAGTTACCTTGATATTTCATATACATTATTGTATACTAGCATCTTTTACTTTTGTTTTTAATTACTTCCTGTCATAGTTTTTATTGCATTTAGCTGTTTCTTTGTTTTACCTATAGAGAATATAACCTAAATATTTCTTCTTTTTTTAATTCAGACAAAAACTGTGATTCATGAACTGATGCACGCCATAGGTCAAATGCACGAGCAGCAGAGAACAGATCGAGATCAGTATATTGATATACTGTTCAATAACATTCCTCAAAATGGCCGCCACAACTTTGATATCAGCGATACATTTGACAGAACACCATACGATGTGGAGTCCATTATGCAATACCCATTAACGGTTGATATATATATATATATATATATATATATATATATATATATATATATATATATATATATATATATATATATATATATATATATATATATATATATATATATATCTTTAATATTTAGTGTATTTTTCAAGAAAACATTAAGTACACTTAAAATTCAATCTGTTTTTAGGAATAACGAAGTATGAGCTAAAGCTGTATTTTTCAGTCATTTTCCCAAAATGGCGGCAAAACTATGCAACTAAAAGACACCAGATTAGAAGTATTGATTGACACTGCAAAAACATTTACCCACAATGATATAAAGGAGATAACAATCGCTTATCAGTGTACAGGTACGTATTAATATAATGTATACTTAAGATATGTCACTCGTAAGCTTATTAAGAACCTCTTTTATCAAATTTCTAAATAACAATTTAATCTTAAGAAAATATCTGAATAAAAAATGAAAGGTGCACAATATTCAATTAAGAAAAAAAACTGCGTACAAAATCTATAAGAAATATGATTTATTGGGGGGGGGGGGTTCTAGAAGGAAGGATACTTTGAAAATTCTCAAAATATACACAGTTGTTACATTTGATATCTTCAAGGTGAATCTTTGGCCCTAAATATTTATGTTTATAGAAATATTTGCGTTATTATACGCTAGGAACAACCAATGTAAGTTTCAAGTAATATTTTAAGAATAAATTTTATTCAACATACTTTGTAAAAAGTATAAATAAATAAATAAATAAATAAATAAATAAATAAATAATAATAATAAAATTTTAAAAAAGGACGATATATCAACAAGTTAAGATAAAATTTGCATTTGCTTTTTTTTCGCCTGAAAATCTCATGTTTTGGATAATATCTCAACATTTCCAACACTGGGCACAACTTTTTAGCTCACCTGATCCAAAGGCTCAAGTGAACTTTTCTGATCGAAATTTGTCCGTTGTCTGTCGTCGTCTATGTCGTCATTGTAAATTTTTCACATTTTCAATATCTTCTCCAGAACCGCTTTTCCCATCTCAACCAAATTTACCACAAAGCATCATCTGGGAATGAAAGGAATTCAACTTTGTTCAAATGAAGGACCAGGCCCTCTTTCACAGGGATTTTATTAATAACTAGTGAAAATTTAATGGCATCTTTCAAAAATCTTCTCACAAACTAATATGAAAGAAGAGATGAAAATTATTTCATAGTTTCATTACAAAGGGTAGACGTAAGTTTGTTGAAATCAGGATTCCTGGGGTAGGGTGGGGTCACAATGGGCGATCATAGTTTTACATATGAATATACAGGAACAATCTTTAAAAATCTTCTCATGAACAACCGGGAATGTAGACTTGAATCTTAAGTAAAAGCTTCATTACATAGTGCAGATTCTAATTTCAAATCATAACCAACTGGGAGGATGGGGCCACGATGGAAGATCATCAAAGTTTTACATGGGAATAAATAAGAAAAAAATCTTTAAAAATCTTGTTCTCAAGAACAGCAAAGGCGTGATTAGTCTTATTAATCTGGAAGCACTTTCCGGTAATGTAGGTTCAATTTGTTCAAATCATAACCTCCGGAGGTAGGGTGAGGCCACAGTAGGCGATCAAACTTAGTTTTTTTTATAGGAATATATAGAAAACTGTCTTTACTCGAGAAAAGCAAAGGTTTGATAAGTTCAAAAAAATACAATGCAATCAAAGTTTTACATAGGAATATATAGGAAAAATCTTTCAAATCTTCTTAAAATCAGCAAAGGCATGATAAGTCATATTAATATGGAAGCATCCATAAAAAAGTAGATTAAAATTTGTTCAAATCATGATCCACGGGGATAGGGTCGGGCCACAGTGAACGATCAAATTTTACATACAAAATATTTGAATCGATCTTTAAAAATCTTCTCTTCAAGAACATCAAAGGCATGATTAGTCATGTTGATATTTAATCATCCTCAGGTAATATAAATTCAGGCTTGTTCAAAACATTACCCCTGGGGTTAGGTAGGGACCACAATAAGCGATCAAAGGTCTACAAAGGAATATATAGTGAATAAATCTTTTGATGAAGAACAGCAGGGCCATATAATGACTCAGTTAGGAAGTCATGGCACATAGACCTCTTGTTATAACATTTTATGAAACTGCCCGACACCTTCAACAGATCAGCTCTCAGTTCATAAAAAAGACGGATATATGGAAATATTTTATTGTCTTCTAGATTTTTGATCAAACATGATATTGTATTAGCGCAAAAAAGGTCACACGATAATTTTCTGCATTTTTTCAATAACAAATATTATTCAATCCATTTTGCACTAAATAAGACTGTATTACATCTGGTAAAATGTGAATGAGGTTCAAGTGAAATTGATTAACCTTAGAGTTACATGTACTTAGTGTAAAAATATGAAGTTATTGTGTTATGCTCAATAAGATGCAGATAGACCCCCTATTTTCTTTGCTATTTTGGGTTAGATATATGTGGCCTTCAATTTAACATTTACATATATCGACGACATTTTATCAATTAACAATGTTCATTTTCATTCCTACGTTGATTCTATATATATCCCTTTAAACTCAAAATAAAAGATACCACAGAGTGTGACACACCTATCTCATATTTGGATATTTTACTAGAAAAGATGTTAATGGTAACTTAAGAAGAAAACTTTGATGACTTTAACTTCCCTTATTTATGTAGCAATATACATTATCACCTGCAAATGGAATGACTCCCAGTTGAATCAAGAGCATGCTCTATGTACGAACAACTTCTAAAACGGGGCAAGCTATTGACAAATAAATTGATAAAACAAGAGTATCAACAGTCTCGTTTAAAGCCAACATTTCGCAGACTTTGTGGTTGATAAATGACCTTGTCAGCAAATACAATCTATCATTAAGTCGATTGTTGACTAATGTTTTACATGCAAATTGTTAGGCCATTATTTTTTTTATGATTTATGTACCGATTTTTCCATTTGCTTGATCATGACAATGAGCAAACGGCGGGTGTGACCCGTCGACAGGGGATGCTTACTCTTCCATGGCACCTGATCCCACCTCTGATGTTTTTAGAGGTCCGCGTGTGCTCTACTTCAAATTTGTATTGTTTCAATGGACATTTGATATTGATTAATGTTTGTTATCACAGAATCCTGTCAGAATCTTCCAGACTGTCAGAATGAAGGGTTTGTGGCTCACACCTGCCAGTGTCTGTGTCCCTCTGAACTTACAGGAGCCACCTGTGAACAAGTTATTACCGATACAGGTAAGTGTCAAAAATGATTCCAGTAATCATTCAAAAATATTTTTAAGTACAAATATTGTCAGACATTATAAGCAAACTTTGAAATAATTAAGCATTACAAAAAAGGTTGTTATTGTTAAGGATGTGGAGGTGTTATTAATTTGAGTTCCGGACAAAGCCAGTTCATTGAATCTCCTGGTTACCCTAACGCAGTTAGCAACGACAAAGAGTGTGTCTGGTTGGTCAGAGTAAGTCAAAATATTTTACAGAACTGTAGTCTGCAAAATATTTGAACATAAAAATTTGCAATTTTGGTTTCTTCAAGCCACATAATATCAAAATCTGCAATAATTTTTTTTCTCGTCAGGGGCCAAGTGGATCCAATATCAGACTTAGAATAGACGAACTGCAACTAGCGATGAATAATTTTGATTCCAAGTGTTATCATTGGCTGGAGATTAGGTACAATATGATTGGTCAAAGTGGAATCAGGTATGACGAAACTCCTTTTTTTTCTAAACACTTAACAGAAACATCACAATTTGTGAATTAGTTTAATATGAATATTTGAAAATTTACCATAGAAATTAAGGGGATTTAAAGCAATTTAAATCCTTACTAGTTTAATTTTTTGTTGTTGCTTTTTTAGGCAGTGTAATACAGCCAACAATCAAACCTACACAACGACAAACGATGGAGAGAGTAACCTGATGCTTCTTAAGTTTGACAGTCGATTTAATAAAAACACTCAAACTTCACAAGGTCAAAGATTCAAGCTGAATGTTAAAGCTGAAGGTGGTAAGTTCAATTTGATGTATAAATACAACGTTTTAAATTGAAAATATTTCACAAGCTTTGTTTTTGTAATTAAAAAGTAACAAATATATGCATTTTTTAAAGAAATTTGAACCAAAAAATCATTTTAACTTGATTTAAAGGCTGAGGGCTGTACTAAAAATGAATTTGTGACAAATTATCTTTTTTAAACACTTGCTTAAACAACTGAAATTCAGGTCAATAATGTGTTAAAAATAATTACCAAATATTATTTTTGAAATGATTGGTATATTTTGCAGGATCTTCCTCAAACCCATGCGATCCTAATCCCTGTCTGAATTCCGGAACTTGCACCGTAGTTGGCTCAACGTTTGACTGTTCATGCACAACAGGCTGGACAGGTACAACCTGCGACGTTCCCGTTCTCAGTTGTCAACCAAATCCGTGTCAAAATGGCGGCACATGTGCTATAATTGGTAACAGTGTATCATGTGACTGTCCCCCGGGATGGATCGGGCCTAACTGTGAAAGTAAGTATTTATCTTTACAAAAATACATGACGGACAGCGTGTTAAAACTTGTGATTATTAAATGGTTTATCAAAAGTATAGGGATACTTGCAATTCTTATGTCATTTTTATAATACTTTTCATTATTTTTTATAAACATAAAAATGTATATAAAAAACGTCAGTCCCGTATAATAAGATGAAATAATTCATAGGTACAATAAACCAGTATGTGGGTTTTAATATGGACACTATTTATTCTTTGGCTATACACGTGTAGAGGTCTTTATAATTTTTCCTTCCATCGACTCATAACTACTATCTTATTATAAGGAGTAAAAACATATATACATGAAATTTCTGATGAAACTGCTATAGTAAAGCCGAATATTGAGACAATGTAATCGCGATCGGATGATAATATATATGTTTATTTCATCAGATCATTAATTTCATACTTTCAGTAATGAAATACATATAATTCAATCTCAACTTTAGCCTCATCTGTTGCAACCACCACAACGACGACGACCACCACCACAGTTTCACCACCCACTGGTACCAGCAGGCTGTGTAACTTTGAAACATCTAATTGCTGGATGGAGAAGTTTGGCGATCTTTTCTCAGTACAGGTACTTATGTATACCTCTTTAGATTCTGGTTTCTAAGAATTAACGCCCTTACTTACGATTAAAATTTTCTTTACACGCGAACAAAAAGATTGTTATATAATAACTGTGTCCAATTTGCAAAAATTGGATCTTAAGTAAATTTTAAGTCCATCCAAATCATATAAAATAATATCATTTTAAATCTATTCATAGCATAACTTCTTATTGTTTTTAACCTTTAGAAAATCTAAATAATATCCACACAGGTATCGTCTAGCATGGAACCATACGCCGGGTTTCTCAATACTGCAAGGTATGGGTATCTTCTACCTGGATCTTCATTTATACTGGAATCTCCATCAGGAACCCTCAGTAGTAAGCCTTTATAAATTTATATGTCATCTCATCGTATGTAATGATAAAAAAAGAATTAACAATAGTATCTCTGTCTTGCTCAATAGAAGAGGAAACAAAAAGAAACACCAAAAGAAATTCCCGATTTTTGAGAGATATAAAGACGTGTGATAAATTATTTCATAACCGGAATTCTTTTACTTATTGTTTGTTTTCATGCCCCAGAGAAGGAAATAAATAATAAAATTATTGAAATAATACATGGCCCGCTATCAACTTTCAATAAGACTTTCCTCCGAACGAACTTATAAGGAATTCTTATTTAACGTTATTTGTAGATGGACAGTTCTGCCTCAGTTTCGGATTTTACATTAACGGCTATTATCCCTCCATGAGTGTGTATCTTCGAAACATGTATCAACAAATGCAGGGTCTATGGTTTTATAATCAATCTACTTACGGTAACTGGTATTCAGTAGAGATCCCATTCTATGGACCCTCCTCCGATCATATTGTAAGTAAACAATCTCTAGTGCGTGTCTGTATAAGACGGTGATGACATGCATTTTGTAAAAAAAAATTCTTAAAAGAGCACAGAAAGATAAAAATGGTTAAGTTTACAGTCAAATTATTTTCATATCCACAACTTCTGATTATGTAGCGTTTCTATGTTTAAATATTGTGCCATACAAATTCATGTTTATCTATTATGATTTTATGAAAGAAAAAAATATGATCATATGAAAAAAGTGAAGGTAACGAGCAGTGATCTATCAAAAAGAAAAAAACCCAAAACAAAACAAAATAAAAAACAAAAAAACTTCAAACAACACAAATCTGAGAACAGGGCATAAAACACCGAACCCTGGATATTCAAAAGGTTGGACCAGTAAACATTTTCTGTTGACCAGTCATACCTACAATGAACAATATACATATATTTTGATCAGGTAGATGAAATATAGAGTCAAATTAAGTATACAAACATAGGCCTAACAATTCTGATGAAATATGTCAGTCAAAATACGACCCAATGATAGGATATATTAGCTAACAAGGTCATTATAACGACCATAGAATGTACGAAATGCCGATTTTAAACAAGGTTTCTTGAAATCATTGTAACATCATCTTATCTGTCCTTAGTCAACCTCGGTTTAAAATTTGAGCATGCTCTTGAGTATCAAATAAGTTGAGAGACATACATTGTAAATACCATATGCAGGTACGAAATGCTACTGCATAAAAATGGAACGCCGACAATAGAAAATTCGAAGTCATCTCGTTTGTCGTTTTGCTGTTAATTGACATTTATCGCCTATAGTCAGTAAAACATCCAAACAGATGTAGCAGAATCTTTGGTGCCTTTTATTTACAGTGGAGATTACTGGGATATATAATCCACATATGAATGAAAGTAAATATTGTTAATTGATAAAAAGTCGTTGATATATCTGAATGTCGAGTTGAGGGCCACAAAAATGTTTTCTTCTTCTCACGTAGAAATTATTTAATACATTCTGCTTCATAGAAATATAAAAACAAGCGGCTAATAATGGAGCACAATAAGTCAAATAGTTCATAAGAACGGCATCAGGCATACCTTTTCTTCATAGTTTTGTTGTCTTAATTAACCAATAATAACTCATAATAGCTCTTTGGATGTTGATGTGATATACAATGAGTGCGGCATTTTAGGATATATTAGTTTAATTCATGTACAGGTTTATCCCTTTTGTGAAGATTTTTAAAAGACAGTCTTTACTACAAGCTGAATATAATTGAGAATCTGAAGTTGACAATGCACATGGAATATTTAAGAGAGGGGGGGGGGCAAATGGGATCACAAACGTAGCGATAAAGGTTGGAAAATCTTGATATATTGAAAGAGATTACGTCATATAGATCATTTGTTGTAAATAAAAACATAATTTTGTAACAAAGACTTGAAAGTTAACAACTAAGTAAATTATATAACATATGTGTATAGCATCAAAGCATTCATACAAAATTACAAATGTTCCATTTCATTTTTTATTCCATTTCGTGGTATTTAAAAATTCAAAATGTTTCAGGGTGTTTAGGATCACCTTAAAAATGCAACTGAATAGTTTATGGACATACTGATATTTTCCTCCCAAAAAAAGCCATTCTAAAAATATGAATTAATGAAGACCACAATCTGATCGAATTTCAGGCAATAGAAGGGTACATCTCGTACGGGACATTCGCAATTGATGAAATCCGACTTCTGGATGGAGCATGCCCCGCAGGTGTCGGTAGATGATGAAATTAGTTCCTGAACAAGTTTTCCAATTTCAAAATAATAATGAATTTGAATAAATATTCTTTAATTTCTTATGAGTCATGTTTATATTTTCATTGCTGGTTAGAAATAAATAGAGAGAGAGCTTGAGAGAGAGAGAGAGGGAGAGAGAGAGAGCTTGTGCAAATATTTTTGCTTTTGGGTAGTCGAGTAATTTATTATCAAATAACAGAAATATATCGTATTGATTTAATGTTTTGAAGGCAATTTGACTGGAAACGTTTTAAGCCTTTTTCAAGTTCACGTGTTATTGAATAGTTGAGAATATTTGACAAAAAGTAAAATAGATATCAATTCTTGATAAAGGAAATACTTTAAATCACATTAGTGTGGTAGGAAGTTTAAATTAACCATCATCTGAAACATGCACAGATAAATTTGATTTTTTATTAGTTAAAAATAAATTTAAAAAAACATTGAATAAAACAAAGTTGCATATTTGCATTTCTAGTTAAGATATATGCAAATATATTTTTCTTGTACATAATTGGAATGAAAAAATAGATCTTTATATTAATGTCTTCAAAGTAATATATGCAATGAAATCATCATAGATAACCCAGAAGAATACGAATAAATAATAGTATGGCTATACAAGTCATGAAACATTATCATAGGTAGGAATATATATTATATTTAATGTAAAAGAAAGAGAGTGGCCAATTCAATGTAACCTTTCATTAAAGATGGATTGTTTGTCAATATATTCAATTTCGACTTATTTATTCACAAACAATAAAATTTATTAAAATAATATATGATCATAAGTAATAAAAAGGGATAGATTCCATTCACAGTAGAGGTAGAATACATATTGCAAGTTGTGTTATACCCGGTGATTTAACGGTGTTCAGTGAATTTGTTTAGGACAGAATCAGTTCATTTCGGACTAAAATGGCGTTTCAAACGGAAGTACTCCATGTTGTGACGTTGTAGGGAGCCCCCATAATGTATTTCTTTTAATGAAACAAAGTGCGTATATGATGTACAAGAATGAACTTCAATGTGAAAAAAAAAAAACTAACAACAACAAACAAAACAAATACATCATATTATTTAAAAAAAAAGTAAAGTGTACATACAATAAAAGGTAAATGCTATTTTTAATGTTTTGAAAGCATTTTGATTCGTAAAGAAAATTTATTGTTGGAATTATGTATACTGAATGCATATAGAATATTTTAAAGGCACTAGGAATGTTCCAGTATACATATCCTTTCCTTATTGCATAAGATATACATTTCAATAAAGTTCAATTGAGCATGCTGCCAAAATTTTTTAAAAGAATCTTTAAATATTCATCGTCACTAAAAGTACAGTATAAGGCGTATCACACACAAAGACTTGTGACAATTTTAAATGTACATCTTTCAAAAATAATTATCATTCTCAAGTTTTGTTTTGTATAGTGGAAGCTGTCAGTCCTTACTTTTCGTAGAGATCGCCTTATTTCCAGATTTCCTATGTCTACAAGACACTTTTATACTCAATAAAATCTTCATTTACTTCATGTAACTTTGCAGTTTATATAGCTCCATAAACTCTTTCATCATTTCGTTTTTGAATTTTTCATATGACTTGAAAGCTTAATGTTCTATATATTTTGCTGTTTTTGAAAGATATTTGTGACGTCATCAAGTGTACGTTTGTTCAGGCATCGCATTTATTCTTGTATCGATTTCCCCACTTTCTCTAAACAAATAAACTTTTCATAAAGTCTAAACAAATAAACTTTTCATAAAGTCTAAACAAATAAACTTTTCATAAAGTCTAAACAAATAAACTTTTCATAAAGTCTACTGATTGATGAATAATATTAAATGTCAAATGTTCAAAATAAATTTTAGTCATAAGTTTATTATTTTTAAATAAATACAATAAATTAAAATTTACCCTAAGCAATTTTTTCTGCTATTCGGGCTTTCTTTGTGAGACAACTTGCTTAATGTATGACAATTGTTACGTGGTATCGCTTACATCAATGTAGCAATGAGATTTCGCCACACACACACACACTGCCATTAAAACAAGACAGAGGGAAGCAAATTATTTTGGGGTAATTTAAAAACCTGTAAAAACATGAAATGTTTTAGAAAACGTACTAAAAGAGTACCATTTGCACAGGGACACAACACCATTACAGTTTAATGATATTAGAATGAACTTTTACAAATTAAATCGAATGTTATCGAATTTACATTTGTTCTCCACTTTACGACCAAGGTCAATGTCATTCTAAACAATATATATTCAGTGTTTTAAACATCTATACTTCCTGGTGATTCTACTTTTTTTTTAAGAAAGGCTTTTTTGAGATGCTCCTCCTCTACGTTGTTCTTTGCGTATGGACCGTTTTGGCAGATTTTGAGAATAGGAAAGAGCTGAAAAAAGTTCTGCAAACTCATGAAAGTAAGATTTAATTTATAATGTAATAAATATATAATTTTGAAGTTTGCTAAAAGTTTGTTCTTAGAGTATCATAATTTATAAAGTGAATAAAAATTGCTCGGTCTAGTCTACCCTTTTCTCTAACTTTAACTCTATCACTAAGAAAATCAAATTGTTTGAAAAGGAAATCTTTAAAAATGACTTTGATTCAGAAAAAAATATTTTGAAATGGTTTTGTTTGCAAACTATGTGTCATTTTTAACTAATAGAAGCTTTATTGAATTTACCAAATAGATTGATTCTACGACATGCTAATTCCAATTTAATTTTTTAGTTTATTTTTTGACACTTTCAATGGATCATAATTAAGGAATTATAAAGGATTCTCTTTTTTGGAATTTTAAAAAACACGTATACAGTAAAGTATTCTTTAAATCATTTTTTTAAAACTCGAAATATAAAAACCCCTCCAAATTTGTAATAGGAGGAGAACAAAAACCCTCAAAAAGTAAATGGCAGTTTGACCAAATGAAAGATAATGACGAAAAAATTGGACAAAGAAAAATTATGTGGAGAGATTGGGAAAAGTTACAGAAACCTGGAAAGTGGCATAAAAACATGATAAAGGACTGGGTAAGACGTTGTTTGGTATCTTTTTTTTAATCCAAGAACTATATTAGAGAGGCATGCTTATTTTTCTTTGCTTTTATTTATAGTTGGAAAATCCACTTTCGCAAATTAAAATATAAATTGTTTGTAGTTGGATATGATTTTTTTTTTAACAACGAGTTGCCCATGTTCTATCCCCGAGCCTTAGCATATTACAAACCATGGGGGATTCTTTTATCACATGTTAACTATAGCTATTACATGTTTTTCCACGTTTTATATGTGAAGCCGTTTTGTTTGACTTCTTCACTTTTTCGCTAAAACCATTGTGACGTCACAACTATTGATATAAAAACGATATCGTATGACCTATATCAACTGTATAAACAAGTTAGCATGTGATAAAAGCTTACTTTTATATTTTAATTTTGTATAGTATTTAGATTTTGACACAAAGTATGAAATAAGGCTTTAATTCTAAGCCATAGTTTAAAAAAGCGTTAACTTTGAATTTTCTTCTTTTTTTTTAAAGTGATACAAATACCATTTAAATATACGGGGAGAAAATCTAAATTCATGCATTCAAATTAAATGTTTTCTTTTTTTTCAAAGGATAAAATCGTGCTTTCGTTAATCATAATTTAGCAAATAAATGACTCTATCATTTTATTTATTTACATACGTCATTATAATAAAATATGATTGCACTTATTTTCGATGACAAATGATGTTTTGCAATCTTACATGAAAAACAAAATCAGGGTTCACATGACATTTCATATTACTGGTTGTTAATCCTCAAAAGAATATCAAATCTAAAGAGAATCAATTTCTGGTGTGTAGAGAAAAAATTTTTTTTGGAAAGCATGTCACATTATAGTAGGCATCTGAAATTTATCCAGAACCATAAGAGAAGAATGAAAGTATGAACGAAAAAGATTAAGATAATGAACAGTGATTGATTTCATAAATTCTTTAAACAAAATAAAACGTGAACAAAGCAAAAAGAGGACCTTAGGAAACACTAGAAGTTGTCAAGGTGCCTTGGAGGAAAAAGTATACCCTATCCATTGGTCACATTCATCCCTTTGTATTGATCAGATAAATAAAGGATATTCAATGTTTTGTAGTTGGATATGGAATTTATTTCACGAATGGGACAGGAATTTTTTTTAATATTTTCGAAGCACGAGTGAAAATATTAAAAAAATCTTGTCTGGCGAGTAAAAATAAATTCCATATCCAACTACAAAACATTGAAATTCTGTTTATTACATTTTCTTTGATTTTCCCTTTGCTTCTATCTTTTCTTTACACAGTGCCATAGGCTGTGACGCCATAGTTTAGCAGTTGAGACGTCATAGTTGAACAGTTGTAAGATTGAAAACATTGTAACATGGATTTTAAAAGCAACATATTTGGGAATAATTTTGCAGTTTTAGTCTCAATTAAGATGGCTTAGTTACTATCTCTATCTTATTACATGCCAGAAATTATTTTTACTTACTTTGATATACTTTCACACTGTGAGAGAATATCACTTTGGTATCCTTTCACACTGTGAGAGAATATTCATATATTATTTTATAATATTTTATTCAATAAATAAATCACAGTATTTCACTGTTGAAAATGTAATTAATCTGAATCTTTTTATTATATGAGAATTGCTTTTTTTACCAGTATGATCACCCTCATAGTCAGGATGACGCAATAGCCGATCTCCTACAAACAATGATTGTATACGATAAAAACGGAAAACCTCATATGGTACGAAATTTAAACTAGTATAAATATTAGAGTTGAAATATTCTATTGATTATAAAAAATGCCTTTTTTTCTTTACATTAATAGACTTTAACATATACAGTAACAATTTAACAATAACAATAATAATAACAATATTTAAATTGAAAAAAAAAATCATATTTACACCATTTTCAGTGAAAGATTCATTATTTGTTTTATCATTTAACATAAGAAATAGTATTTTTAGATTCTACATTCCAGTTCATAAATTAAAACTTTTTTCTAGCCCAATGGAATTCATCCTTCAAGAAAGAAATCAGCAATTGCTGAAGACTTTGATGGGCATATCTATCCAGAGGTAATGGTTTAAATATACACCTTCATAACTTAACGTGTACATTTCCATTTTCACAAATTCATTTTTTCAGGCGATCAAACCCATATTATTTCAAATAATTTTTAATTATAAACTTTATGTTTTATATGTTTTTGCTTAAGCATCGTTAGCATTAAATATTTCCTTTGATAATTTGCATAATTTAAACACTTCATTTGATTTGCCTTCTTTTTCACTCATTTTACACAAATATATTAATTTCGATATCTACATTGATTATTATATATTTTATTGTGGCTTAATGGCTTGTAACTAGACCGAAATGCACAGTTTTTAAATACGTAAATGAGTTTGGTCTATTTCCAAACTATCTAAGGATCACTTTAAAATCATATTGCTCGCGGACACTAGTTTTTAACGATTCTGAATGGTATATATTTATAAATGAAAAACAATGCGTAAATGAAAACTTCCCATGCAGGTGACAAAGTTCATTTTAGTGCTGATTACCAATCACCGCCTTGTCCCTAAAACAGGATAAATGAATCCCATCGACATAAAAAGAAAACCATGAATCAAATTCTAAAGATATATGAATCAGGGAGGTACGAAATACAATCACTTCGTTTAAGATAAAAAAAAACCCATTCAACAGAAGGATATGCTAGTTGAAAAAAAAAGAAACATAAATTCGATGGTCTTGGGTAAAACATAGAATCAATTACGAAATGTAAGTTAATCAGTGTTTTCAGTTTATTTTAATCGCGTGACTCTCCTATAACAAGATCCGTAGTAGTGAAGGACCTTTATCTTTCCATGCCGTTATTAACTCTTTTAATCAAAGCCTTATCAGTATTCCATTGCCTCACAGAGCTTCTATCAATGAAAACTCAGTATTCACACAAATGAATACCAATCATTTTTACGATAAAAGGACCAATTCAGGGTATAAAACATGAAGAAAAAAAAATCCTTCAAATATCCATTTGAACAGCATAATTCTCATCAGGACATATAAGTGTACTCAGAAAAAAGAATCACCAACAAATCTTGTTAACATTCTACAAAAATTCTTATATACTAATATTTCTTTAACCTTTTTTTTCATTTTTATTAAGTTTTACAGAGATATGTCTACAGTGTACATGTTGTCTTCAAGTTACAATCTTTTGACCTGCTCTATGGCCCAATTTCTAAATTTTCAGTACATTTGAAATATATATCGTGAAATATTAAATTTTTAAATACAAATCAATTGAATTTATCATTAAAGTATGTCTGCCATTATGACATAATATAACGTAAAGTAAAAAAAAAATATGACAGAAGTCCAAGAACTTTTCGAACAGTCCTTTTATATATCGTTATCATACATGTATCATCTCTAAACAGGAGGTCTGAGTATTTATTTTATATACAAAATAATTTTTTTCTGATGAAATCTACATTCAGGAAAAAAAGTACAGGACAACGTCAGAGGTAAGTAAATCAAACTTGTAATTACTGGATTGATTTTTTTTTTATTTTTCAAGATTACAATTATCAGAGAATTTATTGAACGTTTTGTAGCACAGTTATTAAAAATAAGATGTAACAGACGTATTCATAGAAATAGAATTATTTTATCTTATAATGATATAAAAGTTCTATTTAATCTGTTATAATCATTTGTCTTCAAAAGTTTCAGAATTTTGCAGGATAAGAGGAATTTTGCTGAGCGTGACGTGAAATTCTGGGAATATGGGTATATTCCATACTATGTTGACTCAAGATGTAAGTAAAAGCTACCTAGCCTCATATATATACTGTGAAATCACTGGTTTTCATTGGAGTTTAATTTTTTTGAATTCGAGGCATGGAGATACCCAAGAATTCATGTCCACCACGAAATGTAAAATTTCATATGAAAAACTAAAATTTCATACATAAAACTACCCAACAATTCTTCATCCATGAAATTAAATCCCCATGAACCCATATTTTTTCCTCAAACCACGAAAATTTGACTCCACAAAAATGTGTGATTTTACAATATATATACTTTTTATATATCTATGATATAATTATATAAATATAAAATACTTTTGATAATTATTTTTTTTAAATCTATGCATATATGGTTAAAAAATCGAAAAAGAAAAAATAAGCCCCACCCCCTATTTTATCTTTTCAAATAAATTTAGAAGAATTAATGTATTTAACTACAAAAGTCATTGACACTTTTTAGGCAAAAAAGCACTCTGGCTAAAACTTAAAGATATCAATCCCATGCATTAACAAAATTGAGCATGATCATGTTGTGACAGTGCTCCTAGCGGGAGTAGGTTATAGAAATTTGCAACTGCATTTGGAATGTGCAGCTGTTGAAGATTCTTTCTGTGAGTTTGGAGACACAACTACAAAACCAAACGTAAGGGTCCCCCTGCAACGTCTTGCAGGTAGGACCACCGCTTCACAACATCGTAGTAAACAGCAGTCACAATTACAGTAAGGGAAAAGCAATACATATGCTTACTAAAACCACGCACAACAGTCTACGAGTATTTGAAATTTTTTTAAGAAGACGCCCATACAATGGAAATTCTCTGATACCAAGGTGTCACTCGACAGAAGTGAGTGTTTAAATCGGCTAGACCCCAGAATTCGAAGGAAAACATTAGCATTCTGTTCTATTCGCTGTTGAATCAGAAACTTGTAGATAGGCGAGAGTCGGCTGCACATCTACCAACGGAAGACAAAGTTTATATATTGCTTAATTTAAAACGATCATTTTATAGTGTAAATGGCATAATGTGGGAATCAAACTGGCATGGACACCGACCTAAAGTTAATAATCTTCAAAATCTACTGTAAAAAATCATGACTTGCATATTTCAAACGCATTCAGACCGTAGTTTGTAATAACTACAAAATCTCGGGTTTTGATTATCATACATCCTTGCACTTTCATGTTCTAAGATTTATCCTTAATATTAATAATCAAAGACAATTGGCAATCTGGGGTGTAGTAATAAAAAAATAATATTTAAACTATGATCACGAAAAAGACACGAAAGAAATGTACAAAAGTAAAACCAACACACCAGATTTAGTATGTTGTAAGCGATGTGAGAAATGTCAGCGATTCCAACAAATCCGATAAAACGTAAACATCAAAAAGAGAACTCGTGCCAGTGTTTACAAAAGGACTTTTAGGACTGAAATTTGAATCTGATTTAAAAAAAAAAAAAAAAGACCCCCCCCCCCAAAAAAAAAAAAAAAACTATAGACAGTGGTGAATTTAAATGAGTTCTTAAGTCGAGTGGTATCCACTTTAAAATATTAATACGAGACTTACAAAATGCGTGTAAAGCAGGCGGGGCAGTACTTATTATCATGACGTATAAGATATCGCAATGAAATCATTAGTTCTTTCGTTGTTCCATTTGTTCATCAGCACATTCTGAATCTGCAAAGGACGATTCAAGGCAACCGCATATGGTATAAGTGTGCTCCAACATGCTGTTACCGTATATCGTTGACGTCATTCTGTGGCAGCATTTTCACAGACCTCTATCCCATTTAAAATTTGAAATCTGTGGGACGAAGAGGAAAGAGGAGGCAGATGCCGTGCGAATCCACCATCCGCCATTTAGGATTTAAAGCAGGCTCTGTTGAGGGAATGGAACAAGATTCCTCAGGCAACCTTCAGATGTCTACATGCATCATTAAGATAACATAATTTATGTCGAAACTGTTTTCCATATAATATCTTTGTTGTCAAATGATTAGAAAACCTGTAATGAACCTCTATATATTGAGAGAATCCTCTCTGCCTGGACCAGTGGAACCTTGTTTTGCCAGGTTAAGCAAAAACAAGCTATAGTGAGCTGTTTATAAGGGAAAAAAACAGTATGAGACATAGATAAGCTGAGCCTCATCAACTCCATGATTCCACACCCTTACAAAAATTTACTATAGTTAAAATTATTGAATACTTTGATGCTTTTATTAATTATGAAACTTTACTCTAAAACTTTTTTTTTTGAGATTTCGAAGCTTAAAATCTCTGAAATTTGATAACAATAGCGGATATTTTGGAAATAATATATGAATAAACATGACAAGTAATATTGCAATTCAATATCCAAGATGTGCATGTATGAGTTGGAGAATATAAAATATAACAATCTCAAATTCATAGTAAAAATGCTTTGATTTTCTATAGTAAAAAACTTTGATTTCCTGTATAAAGTATAAACTTTGATACTATTATAGTAGACTATAGTTAACTATTATGTAGTATTTTCTATTAGGGCGTGTTCAATCTGCAACTAATACAAATGGAGGACTTTCATGATACTGGCATTTGCTGCAGTGAAATTCTTTCTGATTACATTTTATACGGACAAAAAAAAGAAAGCTGTTAATGTTTCCTGAATGTATAAATCGTGTTTGATTTTCACTTTAAGATGCTAAGACAAACTAACTTTTTTGAAGTAAAAAACTAATTATATATTCAGGAAATTTAATTCCACGTTAGTTGTGAATATGCGTTTCTTGTTTTTTTTTCCACCATATATAATAAACAATCAAATCACAAAGAGTTGGTCTCTTTTAAACGAATGTGTTCAAGAAGTTTTGCAAAGAAATAAAACTAAAATTGGTTTAATTAATTTCAAGTTACTACAAGGCAGAGAAATATAGTGAATATGGCGTTGATGGAATTTGAAGAGAAGACATGCATACGTCTTGTCCCTGGTTCGTCCGCCGATTGGTCAGCTCTTCCACACAAAGACTATATCTACTTCACTTACGGGTAAAATTTGTAATTTCAAATTACATGTATTCCATAGCATCAATTTATAAACAGATTAACGTTAATGCATTTTTAATAATAATGTATATCATTACTTCATGTAAATTAGTTGAATTTGATTCGTCGAGAAATATTTGCTAAAAAACACTATTGCCCGCTGAATAATAAAGCCATGCCCTCCAGCGAAGCAACAGTCAACATTGCTTGACGACGGGTGTTATTCCAAAAAATATCGACTGCGCAGAATTTACTGTTCAGTGTTATATGTATTTGTATAAAACATTCAGTATAATATGATAAATATTGCATGTAGTTGAGTGTAACATTGAAAATTTTCACCCCTCGAAAACCATTGTCAGCCTCGGCTGTGCCTCGGTTGATAATGGTTTTCGTGGGGGTGAAAGTTTTCAATGTTACACTGAACTACACACAATATTTATATAATAGCTGTTGAGAGAAAACAGTATTGAATTGACAAGGGAAAGAGATTTTTAATCTAGAGACTTTTTCATCTTTTTTCTAAATATCAATGTAGTGTACAAAGATAGATATATTCAGCTATAGCTTAAGTTTTATTAAAAACTTTTTTTTAAAGAAAATGATATATCTTATTTTGTCTTCTGTTTCGAGATACGTGCATTACATAAAAATGTTAATACAAAAATTTATGAATATTTCTTTTCGTAAGACCTCGATTATCTGCATATTAGACCATTTTGACAGAAAAAGTAAAAACTGCTGGAAACCCATGCTTTTGTGGCTACTGAAACTTTTTCAAATAGATTTATTTCGATGTGCTTGTATGAGTGCATTAGTTTACTTCCAAATATGGTTATGTCTAACATAGTAGCTAAATTGCATTTCAATCGATCAAATTTACTTTAAGCCCTGGAGGTGGGATGTTTTGAATTTTACATAATAACTTTTGCTAATTTTTTTTCTCTAAATAAAATTATAAGCTGTGTCACTTTCAGTTTTTTCTCCTTATGCGGAAACAATTTACACTACAGTCACTTTATTTTCATCTTTTCATCCGTTTATAATTTTAAAGTATTTTATGAAAAGTTAAAAATACGAACAAACTTTTTTTTAAAATAGAAAAGCATGTAGCTCCGCTGTAGGCAGAACAGGAAAAGGGCAGCAGGAAATTGGATTGAACTCTACATATTGTTTTACGGTAAATTAAGTGCATTTGTTATATTTCTTTTTCATTAGAATATTATATCATTAAAAGAAATACAGAAGAAGTGGACACAATGCATTAATAAAAAATAATTGATTAACTCAAGTTTTGATAATCAAGAACAAATCAATATCAAAAAGCGCATGTATCAATATGTACTTCGTGCAATTCATTTTTAACTAGGACCTTGATTTTCATGTAATTCAAAGTCATTTTGCTATACGGTATGCACTATAAATTTAGGTCAAATTTTTGTTTAGAGATGTCTTTTTACAACCTATGCTATTGTAAAATCATTTATAATACGCATATATTTTTAATATTGGTTCTCCCTTATTTTTATTTTGTTTTGATAAGTAGAAAAGAACAGTCATTCATGAAATCATGCATGCTCTCGGTCAAGTCCACGAACAACAGCGCAAAGACAGAGATGAACATGTGATTATGCATTGGGATCAAATAAAAGAAGGGAGACAAAACCGGAATATGGAGAGGCTACCCCAAGGCTCACAAGACAGGACGCCTTATGACGTCACATCTATTTTGCAATATGGATTAAGAGTACGTATGCGTATGAAGCTTTCTTTAACAAAGTTGGAAACGTTAAGACTTTGGTTATAATTAATTAATTAATACACCAACATTAATTAAGAAGGTAAAGGGTTTATATTCATGTACATGTAAGTGTTTTAAATATCTTAATAAATGAATATTTTTCTAGAAAGAATAAGATTTCCCTGTATCTCATTTATGAATATTTACGATGAAAATTTAGACATTTATATATTTACTTACATTGCATATTTTTTGCATAATAGAATTAAACGTAATCTTTATGTATCAATTTTGATAAATGGTTATTGATATTCGAATGAATTGAGAATCCGTAGATATTTAAATAGTCATTTTGTATTTCTCAATTCTATTTCGTTCTTCTAGGCAAATTAAAAAATACGGAATTTTCATTAATATTGAATTCTCAAGTCAATTTGATCCAATATAGTCCTTTTTCAACTAGTGGACATGGATTTTCTTTGCACCGTGTTTGTAATAATCATAATTCATTTTTTTACTGTAATTTTACAGGCATTTTCGAAAACAGGATCAAAGACCATGACTTTAAAGGATAGAAAATTGGAAGTCTTAGTAAAATCTTCGGAAGGTCTAACACATTTAGACGTAAAGGAAATTACACTTGCATATAGATGTTCATGTAGGTTTACCTAAAATTTATTTAAAATTCAATTTCTGCACGAATAATATGGGGGGGGGGGGTCCCTTGGTGGTCCTGGGTGTTTTTTTTTTCAAAAAAAAATTAAAAGTTAGATTTAATGAAAGATAATATGGGCTAGATTTAATTCTTGTATAAATTAAGTATTTGTCTTGGACAGACATAAATCCATTTCATAAGATGAGAAATATAAAGGATCTCATATTTGGTGTGATAATAACGTGTAATTGTTGGGTGTTCTATTGATCTAAAGATACCAAAATTATAATTCTTGTACAATGAATTATCAATGTGGTCAGTAGTACACTGAAATGTGTTACTTAAAAAAACTAATTAAATTTTAAAAATGTCTTGATAACTAGAGTAATAAATTAAGTTAAATCTAAGGTTACGCGACATGCGTCTTCATATACAATCATGTTGTGAGGTAATTGAGAGGAACAAACAGATTCAAGTCCTTGAGTTATGGTTAAAATAAAAAAAATAAAATAATATGATGCAAAATATATGAAATGAAACGTGTCTGTTTTGCTTACGTCCCTTAGAGAATTATTCAGTCGTGCTGGGATGCAGCCGTGGGCTGCAAATTAGACTTGCACTCGATACATATGGCAACTGGTCATCTTGGGATCTCTTGCATGCCAGCACCTACTGCAACACAGGAACTTGGTTTCTTTCGACTCATCCGATGGACCGGTCTCCATGGTCCACAGTGGAACGAAAGGAGGGTTTCTTAATTCACTTCTCTAGAACGAAACGTTCTAACCACTCTCGCAACATGAGTCATTTAGTTTAACTATTAACCTTTATGAAACTGTTAACGAGCTAGACTGGCTATCCAGTCTTAAGGTATATATTGCTTGTATGTCGAGTCATTTAATATAATACTCCAGTTACGGTCAAATCTTGTTATCTCAAACTCGATAGGACCGAGAAAAAACTATGATATATCCGAGTATTCGAGATATTATGGTTAAAATAGTTAGATATTAGGGTTAAAATAGTTGTATAATAAGTGTTTGGAAATTAAAAATCACTTCGACATATCCATGGTATTCGAGATATCAGTGTTCGAGATTCAGCTGAATATAGCTTCATGCCTTCTGCGTGTAGATATATGAATGTCAACTGGAATGAAATTGATTCCCTTAATTGTAGTTTGAATTAATGACCACTTCGTTATGATGAATAAATACTGTTTTTGTGATGTGTTGCTAGCTAAAGTTTTACAGAGTCTGTAGCAAACTGAATTTTTTTAAAACTTTAAATATAATCAAGTTTTGAAGTAGGAAAATATGGAAATGAGAAAAAAAAATCATGATTAACCAGATTTATTCCTTATATTGTAGCAAGATGCTCCAACAAACCATCTTGCCTAAATGGCGGATTCGTTGGTAAGAACTGTGATTGTGTATGTCCTGATGGTATTACCGGAACACTCTGCCAAGGAGTCGAGACTGATCCAGGTAATAAGTGAAGGTTATAGAGAATATTGAGGTGTGAGGAGGGATAACTGGTTTGTTTGTTTGTTTAACGTCCCTTCAAGAAATTTTCACTCATATACCACTTGCTGGTGGAGAGCTGAAAATTTAGATCTGTACTTGGTACTTTGGGCCATTTAGCAGTTAGGGATATTTTCGTGTCAGCACCTACCGTGACACGGGGCCTCGGTTTATATGGTCTCATCTGAAGGACAGGTCTGCACATCCCAAAGTGGGATTCAAACCCGCGACGAAGGATCAACTCCTTACTCCACGACTTTAGAATAAACGCGCTAACCACTGCGCCACGCGGGAAAACTGATGATTAGGTTAGAATTTTCGTCTGATTTGATTTTCATAAAACTGAAAAATCAAATCGGGGTTTTCTTTTCCTTCATCAATTGATATTTTACCAAATATATATGTAAGTTAATAATGGACTTCAGTGTTAGATATGTCATATACGGCACAAGGCACAGTTTCATTGATTTGTTTTTTTGTTTGTTTGTTGTTTAACGTCCCTCTCGAGAATTTTTCACTCATATGGAGACTCCTCATTGATTTGTAAAGCAAAATGTCAAAATCATTGATTTGTAAAGCAAAATGTCAATCTTAAGGATTGTTAGTAATACACAACACCATCAAAACCTTTTTTAAAAATAAAAATTTCCATGTCTACTGTATTGCCTTTGCGAAAAGCTCGGCAAAAACAACTTTTTTGCAACCAAAAAAATGGGTTTTTTTGTAATGTTACAAGCAATAAATTCGTAATCCCCTGTTTTGTTATCGAAATACAAACTATGTCAGTTATAAGAAACTTGAATAATATGTCATTATATTTTGACAAACTTAAGCTAAAATCTTAACAAAGTGGTTGGAAAGAATCTTATACATGTAACATGGGTTATTCTTTACTGTGAATCATTTTATTGAAAAGGTTGTGGTGGAGTTCTTAGGCTTGACTCCGTTGGATACAGAGATTTAAAGTCAATCAACTATCCTAATGTTTATCCTGTTGACAAAGAGTGCACCATTTTGATCACGGTATGAAAGTAAAAATAGCCATTCTTACAATGATATGTAAGTTTTATTCAGAGAGAGCTTATTGTTGAGAGTAAAAATCAGTTGATAGTAATGTGTAGATTATATAAGTTCTTAATAGTTTGTTCATTTCAAAAATAATGAAACAAAAAAAAGCAATTTCTAGAACTCTTGCCGTTTTCTGTGCAAAACCTGAAAGTCCATATAAGAAGCTGAGTAAAATGCTCAAATAAACTTTTTTAAGTCTTGATAATTGGTCTGTTAACTCTTCGCTTTTTTTGATGTCTTCTTCAGAACTATTGGGCAAGTTTCACCAACCTCAGGACAGAGCTTGGGATAAAGTGTATTTAAATTATTTTTGAAAAAAGATTACATCCCTTTTCTAGAAAGGGAAAAAGACTGAGTGAAAAAATGGGATCATTTAGAAGATCTTATCGAGACCCACTTTGCCTGGAACGACACATATCATGGAAATGTTCCTCAATAATTAATTTGTTTGTTCAAATTATGGCCCTGGGCTAGTACAGGGTCATAAAAATATATGAAAGCTTCTTAAAAAGGAAAAAGAGATAGAACATAAAGAGATTATATTATTCCGAAGAACAAGAGGAGCATGATAAAACTGCACCATTCACTGAAAGGGCTGATAAGGTGGTTGAATGGCAGAACTCTTCCATTCAGTCACCTCTCAGTAAACTGCAAGTCACATTTCAGTTAAGTTATTTCAGTAATTCCAATATATAGACAGGATTAATAAAAAGTATTTATGTATCCATTTTAGGCACGAAAGGGTTCCAAAATAAAACTAGAAGTGATTAATAATGAACTTAATCTGAGAAGATCTACCAGCAATTATTGTTACCATTGGATTGAAGTTCGCTACACATCAACGGAAATTATTGGTCCAAAGTATATCCATTTGTCTACATTTATAAATATTTTAAGACTAAGTCAGGAAATGGCGTGTTTAATTTATTGACAAAAAATGACTGAATGTTTAAATTGACATACTAGAAAAACATCATTCTTGTATTTGTATAAATATTTCATTTGGTTAAAAAAGGGTTGTAGCAATGACGTCAAAAAGAGCTTTCATAAAAAAAGCAATTAATTTCCATTCAATGAATTTTTTCATTCAGAATTATTTGATTCTAAATTATTTCATTGTTCTCACCAAAGACATTTAAAAACAAGGAAAAGTCAAAGGCAGATTGTTAAGGGACAAATTTTCTAAACATCAATATGGAACAGAGAAGGGACAAAACATAACTATTATTTTTTTGACCAGAATTTCATGTTTTTTCTTTTTACAGATTTTGCAATCCTTTCAGTCCAATTATGTCAGAAAATAACCAAATGATGATACGATTCAATAGCAAATTTTCTAAAGATTATCTGCCCTTCAGTGGTCAAAAATTTTTCTTAAGGGCAAGCACTGGTGGAGGTAATAAGAAACAGTTTTGTTCCGATATAAGCTATTAAGCATTCGGTGTTTCTTAAAACCATCGTCTTTTGTATTTCTGGAATTATACACGATAAATTCATAATTTATTCTTTTGTCTTCCATTTGATGATACAGCATAACAATTTATAATGGAAAAATTGAATAAATGATTGTAAATCTTTTTTGAAAAAAACTTTTCAGGGTCACCAGCATCTTTCAATAGAGTCTGCAATTTCGATAAATCAAATACCTGCTGGATGATACAAGCACGGCTAAAGGAGAGTCTTGTATGGATTCATTTATTGCAATTGCTTTTGAAAGATATCTCGGGTCAAAGGTTATCTACTATATTGGTTGAATAATACCCCCCCCCCCCCCCCCCAATAAAAAATCCAACTCTTTATTAGCATTTCTTTCAAAGGCAAATACCGTAGATTCTTCAGTAAATACATTTCAACCCTAATATAAAACTGAATACATAACAGATATGTATGGGTTTAACATTCAGTATATTTAGGAATCAGATCAATTATTATTATCAGTATGTAGGAGTTAAATGTGTTTTAATTTATGACCTTGGCTCATCCTTAAAGATTTAATATCTCTCTCGGTGTTACTTCTATAAAACTCATTTTGAAAAGAAATCTATCTGGTAAAAAAAAAATCGTTTTTAATCTATATTCTATTCTTAATGATTAAAAAAAAACTAGTCATGCGACGTTGACAAAGACGATAAAGATCATGCGGCAGATACAATCATTGTGTTTCTGGAACTGACACGGACTGGTGCTGTTATTCGACCGACGACATCCAAAAATAAAAATATAATGCTTATATTTACATTCTCTTATTTTCTCCCTTCATGAATATTATTTAATTCTTCCTTAATATAAACTCCTTTCAAACCGGTGTGGTTACTAGTAATAGACTTAAGAGTCGTTTTGAAGTAGAAAATTAGTTAACGCAAATCAACAAATGAACATTCAAATTATTTCAAACGTACAAATGTTATACTTTAACAACAATTATTTGTTTTTAATTAATTGAACCAAAAAAAAAAATACATTTTTGTGTAAAAGTTCTTTTCGCTATGAAAAGGTTGTCTGTGTTATAAAGGAGGTTATAAATTTCTAATTAATTTCACGAAGAAAATTACACTGGATATAAATATTGATTTTGACTCATTATGTTGCATTAAGTAACCCTTACAAACTTATTTGATGTTAATTTATAAATCAATGAAACAACTTTCAGATTTTTTTTATACACAACTGAGTCTTGTTTTATTCTCTTTGTCAGAGCAAATGGTGGTTGGACCCCCCAGATGGAGCTAGAAATACACCTGGTTACGCGTATATTGACACCAGAACAACATTTTTGTTGACCACCCCAAGGAACACATTTTCTGGTAAATATCTAGTTTACTGATAAAAGTCGCAATCTTTAGTATAATTGTTTTTATTTTGTTTAATGTCATAATTACTATTAGGTCATACTATATATATTTATATATACTATATATTTTTTTGCTTGTGCTGTGTATCATTAAGTTAAGTTATTACTGTGTATATGAAAGGAAAAATAAACATATTAATCTATACATACATGAAATGATTGCCAGTTTTTATTGGTCTCAATGATTCTTGAATTATACTTTGACAGTGCTTTAATTACAGACTTACCTTAATTTATTATTGCTTCTCTTAACATACAGATGGGGACTACTGCCTTAAGTTCAGTTATTATATGAAAGGATCATCGGTGTTTATTGGTCTCTTTGACTCTGAATGGATCTGGCATTCTAACAAGTCCACAGATGGATATTGGATGACAGTAACCGGAAGTTACACTGCAACTAGTTCCTCTGTGCTGGTGAGCACCCTATGCCTCATACAATAATAAAAAACTTACACTAGAAAGGTAGCTTTATAAAACAGGTTCTAAATTGTATGGAAAATCTAAAGGCAGGAATTAAATGTATGTAATCTCAAGTCACATAAATTCTTATTTAATTTGAAGCAATAGGAATTAAAGCAAAATTAATTGTGATAATTTGCATCAGAATCTTACATGTACATTTTCACAATGGTTTTTTTTCTCCATTTTTCTTTCCTCTTGTAAGCAAATATATGGCGCTCTAAATTCCACTGGAATGATTGCTGTAGACGAAGTAGAGGTGTCACGTGGGAGCTGCAGCAGATAAAATCACTACGGACATCAAAAACACCTGACCCAATGTCCTCCTTGTCAAGTTATTTCTTCTTTGAAGGATTAATTTCTTACATAAAATCGCTAACCGGAGTTGTCATTCCTTTGACTTTTGTAGAAGCTCTGTCAATGTCTCAAGTCTCAAATGATATATGAGCTGAATTATCGAATAATCCCTAATAAAAAAAATACTATTGTTAACTATAGTTAACTATAGTATCAAAGTAAAAACTTTGGAACTTTGATTTACTATAGTAAAAACTTTGGAACTTTGATTTACTGTAGTAAAAACTTTGGAAGTTTGATTTACTATATTTACTTATTTAAAACCTTTGATACTTTAGAAAATAACGTGGAAGTATGTTTTTGATTCCCATGCTTGACATTTTATGAAATTTAATGTTCAAAATTCATAAAAGCTTCAGAGAACGTTTTATAAACCCGATCCCTTCCTTAAAAAATGTACTAGAAATGAATTTTAATTTAAGGTTGTCTGTCGCGCAAAAGATGAGCAAAATTTAAATGTATTTAATTTAATGCAGATGTAGTGTAAGTCATTTTTTATGGAGAAAGGAAAATAATAAACTATAAAATAAAATTTATGTCATTTTAGAACCAAAATACATGCTCCATCAACTTCAGTAAAGATGTATTTTATTTAATTTATAAATGTAAATATTGAATTGAATTAACTAAGTTGTAAATTTAAATCAGCATGCACAACAATCCCCAGCCCCCACCCAACTCAACCTCCAGCCCCTTTAAAACGGCAAAATAAGCAAAAACATATTAAAATACTTTAATAAGTTGAAAAACTATTATGAAAATTTGAAACTTTGATATAGTATATTGATACTTTGAAATTTGATTTACTATAGTAAAAAATTTGGAACTTTGATTTACTATAGTGAAAACTTTGGAACTTTGATTTAATATAGTGAAAACTTTGGAACTTTGATTTACTATGGCTAACTATAGTAAACTTTAGTTAACTATAGTATTTTTTTTTGTTAGGGATGTTACTCTAAAATATAAAGCGAAATTAAAATTGAGATATTTGCTTGCAATGTTTGGCAGATTTTTAAACATATTGGACATGTGAATTATAAAGAAATGGTTAAAATATACTAAGTCCCCTTAAAGCTTTGAATAATTGTTTTACAGGAATCGTGTTAAATTTGAGATGTTGAGAGATGTAAGTACGAGTGGAAGGAACGACATTGCTGGAGAAAGATGAATGAATAACACTGGGTAGAGATTTATCTTAATATAATGAAATAGATAGATGTTGTTTTTTTAACTTACTAAAATAATATTTTTACAATGTACTTGTTTTCAAATTCTCCCATATGACACCTCTAATAAATATAGTTCCGTTTGACCAAATATACATACATATAATAAATACATAAAATATATATACTTATAATCAAAAGATTGATTAAAAAGGAGTTTTCATTAGAAAGATATTTATGACATCAAAACATGGACAATTGATGATGAGTCAACACCATATAAAATATACTTCATTCTTGTATAAATTCTATATTCTACAGTGTTTAAGTATGAATTTAATAAGAATAAAAACAATTTTTATAGTACCGATTAGTTGAAAAATCTGAAATTTTGAACATTCATGTAAATCTTCCTACTTTGATATCACATAATATACATAGAAATCATAATACCTTCATTATTCCATTTTTAAATGAGACTTAGTGTTTATGATGTGAAGTTAACGATTGTTAAAGTTTAATTTTTATTTGAGTACGAACCATTTCTGGAGAACTACTGTTGTTTGGACATTGAGCTGCTGTCTCTATCTATATACAAAAAGTATGATGTAGATAAACATGTAGACATATATTGAACTGATGTCTTTGCATAGATATTGAGCTGATATCTATATGTGTTTTACACTGGGTTTGATTTTCATACCAATTGACTGCATTATTTGCATGCATGCAAGCACTTTTCTCCTTTTCTGTGATGTTTTATAACAGCGAGCTACGGTTTTAATTTTTATTTAGAACGATATTTACTGAAACGCAGACGAAACGGAACCTATTTTAGAGGGGAAAATTCAGATATAGGGTATAATCTTGTACATAAAAAGTTAGGACATCTTCAACTTTGTTAGAAAATGACTGTAAGCATGCATTTCCATCGTTCTGGCTGGAAATTCTCAGAATGAGATGAAGAGAGTTGAAGATGCAATGACGCGCTATATCATGACTGATCATGGTCATACGTCTCATTACCTTGAGTAACAGTCAGTAGAACAGAAATTTAAAGGCTGCTAGACTGCTCCAGGTTCAAGGAAATTCGACCTCAGTATCTGAAAAACAAACACTTCAAAAAGGCTAAAGAATATTTCTTTTGCTAAGGCCAAGAGACTGATGAACTTAATGCATCGTAGAACCCAAGCTGCAATTGTTGTGCGTGGTACGCTTTAACTGAATGGCGAAGGGGTGTTAACGGATATCTGTTTCTTTCTACGATGAAAAGATAAAACTCTGAGACAACGTTCCAATCAAATCTCTGATTGTTTTAAATCAAGTTTTCTCTTTCTGTTAAAATCTGTGCTAAATTGTGAATATCATTACATAAAAAATTCAGGTACTAGTATTTGTACTTAACGGTTGTTGCGTTTCTTTTGCGTTTCAGAATAGTTAGAGCGAATTCAGAAACCCAGAACCTAGAAATACCTGAACTTTGCTTGGCGTACGGCTAAGAAAAATGATTTCTCTATTATTATTTTTATTATATGCTAGTAATCAAAGTTGATTTTCATTCAATATGTATCTTATTTAACATCACGATAAATTTTAAATAAAAGAAAATAAAACTGCCCTTTCTTCTCTTTTTTAACGCATTTTTTTAAGTATGAAGTCTATTGCATCTACATTTATTGCCAAAAAGATTAAAAGTAAAAATAAGCGAATATGTACCGTATTCTAAAAGCGATAATCATCATCTTAATTTGGAATTAAATCACCCTTTCAAATGCAGGAGAAAACTTAATAGTGACAGATAGGCCTACTAATTATGTGTTCAAGGAATGAGTTTGTTTTCATCATGATGTAAGGAGTTCAAGCAATTAACAAAGAAATCGTTTTGACAAAAGGCTACCCAAATACATTGCAATAGCCAGTGTGAAAACCTGCTGAACCCAGTGAAAATCACAAAGTGATATTGATATGATCGTTGCAAAGATTACCATTATAACAAAGCACGCTCTGTCCATTAATCATGCATATGTTTGTACCTAAATGAGATGCAGTTGCAAGGGCGAATAAAGGTCTGTATAAATATTACTGTTTCATCGCTATTAACGTGAATTGAAATGAAGAATTTATTTTGCCATTGAATGGGGTCTGTTACGGTGCTTTGACATCAATGTGTCATGTGAACACTTTTATTCTATTTTTAAAATTCCCAAGACCCAAATGAATTTGATTTACCATATTTATATTGGATTCCGAAACTTCATAAAAATCCTTACAAACAAAGATACATAGCGGGTTCCAGTGAATGTCCTATAAGCCTCTTTCTTTACTCCTCACTAAAATATTAACAGTAGTGAAGGAGAAACTTCAAGAGTACTGTACAAAAATATATTCGAGGAGTGGTTTAAATCAGATGTGGATTCTTAAAAATTCCAGGGAACTTTTGAAAAATCTGAAATCACAAAATTCTAACAAAATCAATAACATCAAGACTTTCGACTTTTCAACTCTACATGTTTATACAACCATTCCCCATAATAAATCAGTCTAGGTTTTTTGACATCATTGACAGCCGCTCTTTCAATAAAAATGGAACTCGTAAATTAACTCCCTTGTCATCGGTCCCATGCAGACTATTTTGTAAAAACATTCTGATTGTACACACAAGTACCCTGAAGTTGATATTAAAAACATGAATGAGTTTCTGAACGACAATATCTACGTGGTTTTAGGAGACCATGTCTTCCAATAATCTGTTGGAAATATCATGCATATGGCCCTAACAAAAAATAATATAGTAAACTATAGTTTACTATAGTTAACTATAGTACCAAAGTAAAAACTTTAGAACTTTGATTTACTATAGTAAAAACTTTGGAACTTTGATTTACTATAGTGAAAACTTTGGAACTTTGATTTACTATGGTGAAAACTTTGAAACTTTGATTAAGTACGATATATCCTGTGCAATTATGTTTTTGATTCCCATTCTTTACATTTTATGATATTTCAAGTTTAAGATTCATAAAAGCTTTAGAGAACATTTTAAAACCCGACCCTTCCTCTAAAAGAATAATGTACAAGATATGAATTTTATCGTAAAGGTTGTCGCTTGCGCCAATAAATAAGCAATATTTATTTCAATTTATTTAATTTTAATGTAATGCAGATGTTACGTAAGTCTTATTTATGGAGAAAAAATAATATATTATAAAAAAAAATAATGTGTCATTTAGAATCAAAATATCTGCTTCATCAACTTCAGTCAACATGTATTTTTTTTTATTTATAAATGTAAATATTGCATTTGAATTAACTACTTTGTATATTAAATAAAGATGTACAACGAAAACCAGCCCAAACCAACCCCATATCCACCCCTCCCTTAAAACGGCTAAATAATTAAAAAAAATTAATAAAAATACATAAGTTGTTAAACTAATGAAATAAATTAAAATCGTTGATTAAGTATAGTAAAAACTTTGGAACTTTAATTTACTATATAAAATCTTTGGAACTTTGATTTACTATAGTGAAAACTTTGGAACTTTGATTTACTATAGGGAAAACTTTGGAACTTTGATTTACTTTAGTGAAAACTTTGGAACTTTGATTTACTATAGTGATAACTTTGGAACTTTGATTTACTATAGTTAACTATAGTAAACTATAGTTAACTATAGTTTACTAAAGTATTTTTTTGGTAGGGGGGTACCAGTTGCGCCCAGTTATTACCAGACCTATGTTTGTATTTAATGTGAAGCAG